AAAAGTGAAAGTTACAACTTACTGACATCATATTTAAATAGTAATCTGTTGAAAAAAGTGTTCATAAATCGAGAAGTATATATTTTAGGTTTAGCTGCTGCAGAGTATCTTTTAAAAGTTATATCTAGTTGATTTAGGCTTAGGTATTAAACTGTAGAGCGGATGACTTTCAGTAGAGGCTACCTGATAATGCCTAATATCCTCCTGTTTTTCTCAAGTTTCATTTGCATTCATAATATAATCATATGATTATAGCTAGTCCGACTTCACGCCCCAGGGGCGTCTAGTTTCATGTAAAGGTCACGTTTATTTATTCGTGGAAGTATTCATCAAGTTCATGAACGTTTTAATGGCGTTTCAAGTGGAAAATAGTTTTCATAGTTTCGCAATTGCAGATTGAGATTCGCAGATTGGAATAGGTATCGTGGAAAATACGTAAACCGTCTGAAGAATTTTGCGTTACGTGACAAGTTGTATCACACTACTGCGATGCTGATCTGTTATCTGTTAAATTGAAATAGCTACTCGCAGTACTCACTTTCTATTAGAAATGACTAGACTAAGAAATACTTCGCAGTACAGAACTCTATCAAATAATGAAATCCTTATTAATTTTCCAGGTCAAATTCCCCCTGGTTTCTGATAAGGAGTGTCGATCAAGATATAGCAATATGACCTCGACTGTGATCTGTGGCGGCTATAAGTTACAATCTAAAGGCGCATGTCAGGGTGACAGTGGTGGACCGGTGACCTGTAAGAACAAAGATGGAGTGTGGGATCTGGCTGGAGTTGTGAGCTTTGGATTAAACGGGTGCGCTCAGAAGAATACATATGATTTTTTTACCAACATGGCTAAATTCAAAAAATGGGTCGAAGATCAAATCAAACAAAATTAGTATTTAAAGAATATAATGAATAAATCAAAAAACTGTTCACCATTTGTTTTGTTTACTACAAGATAGTTTGCGTATCTTTCAACTCTTTGATGTTGGTCTCTATATTCGATTATTTTCACGATATACATCCAAAACATTCATTAGTCGGACTAGCCGAAGGCTAGGTCGACTTGAGTTTTACCTTTTAGCCAATCTATCTATCTATGTGTCATGTCGCGTTTGGACCACCGGAAGTTAAGAATTTAATAATTAACTATTGGGTTGGCTATGTTATTACCTTACCGGAAGCTCAATCGATCTCAATCCTATAGATGTACGAATATCGTTAGTAAATGTTATATGCTACTTGGCTTTTATATGACAAAAAAAGTATTCGTTTACAAGGTATCTGTGATCTCATCGGAATGCATCAGTCTAGGCATCATAAGTACGCGCATGTGCAGATCGCTTGGTGCTTCGAGTAGTATGCTTACGCAGCTAAATCAATGGCCTTTCTAGCGTTAGGCAGTGTTGTGTGGGCAAAGATTTCAAATTAGAACAAGAAGAAACATTTTTTTCAATAACAAAAAGGCGAGTTTAATGATTTTATAGTATCATCTACTTTGTAAAGTATTTTCTTGGCCTAAGAGGTCAACGTTATCACTTAGCGTCACTTGTCCACATACCATGATTGATTTTATCAGTCAAAGCAAGGACTCATTTAAAACGTTCATAGATGTATTAATTACATGACATTTCAGGTCAAGTTTATTTTAGTCTCAAGAGAGTTTGTATATTTTGAACTAGACGCTCTTATTAGACCGTGAGTTCGGCTTTTTTGGAGAAAAATTAAGAAATATATATTTTAATCTAATTTTTATATTTTATGTAATATCCTCCTGTCTTTCTCAAGCTTCATTTACATTCATAATATCATATGATTAGAAAGAATATAACATCATAATCTTTTCACACGTGTCTATCAATTTTCAAAAATAGCTAGTCCGACTTCACGCCCCAGGGGCGTCTAGTTCATTAAGTAATCATAAGATGAATCTTTATCAAGCACGTCGTGTTTAACCACATGTTCCTTGATACTAAAAGAAAACCGTTTTCTTTTTCTTTGACTCCGGAAGAATATGAATTTCTGTGGATATTCTGTAGGCACTAATGTGACTGTCAGTGGAAGTATGTGAGGGGTAGTTGTGTTATTTATAGTGAAAATCTACTCCGAGAATCAAAATCCCCTTATCTCTGAGCTTATTGGCATCTTTGTGGGATTTAGAATGACTTTTGGGTCCCATTTCCGGAAAGTTAGACGTAGAAATTGGAATTGGACCCCACAAGAGAGAGCAGGATATTTTTTATTGCACCTAAAAACTCAAGGTTGCTAGTGTTTATGCCTGATTTGAACTGCCTACTTTTTTTATTGAATTAGTTCTACCAAACTGCGATAAGCTGTTCTTTTTAACGCATACTTTCTAATTCAGTTAAACTCTCAAATAAATACTATTTCTGAGGCTACTATCTGGCTCCGTAACAGAAACGATTGCCCTGCACCTAACTGTTCCCGTAACAACTGCGTGACAATATTTTAATATTAACATTAAAATCATCAATCATGATATGGCCAAAGTTTTAAAATGTCAGTCTCAAGCTGTTAAAAGAACAGCTAAAACAATAACCGCTTCATTGACCTCACCCTTTACTTTGCTCAATGACTGCTATTTTCTCACAAAATCTGAAGCGGGCATCCCTTAACGCTACCATTTTTGGCGACGAAAAGTAGTTTCACCAGTCCGATGAGGAACTTTCCATGGCTCCATTCCTCTCTAAAAACAAAATTCATTGGCTATTTTTACTGAAATATCAAGAGCTAGGGCACAAGTTCTACACCACTATGCGCTTTGGGGTTCTAATTGGACTCTGTAGTGACATCATCCTTGGTCATGATATTGAAGGAAATCATCATTAATATTGTCGTCATCGATTTGAGATACAAAAGCCTGAGCTGCGTGTGCCTGTTGAAGAACCATACATTTTCGCAAAATGTTCTCGAGAAGTACAAGGAGTTCAATGCTCAATTTATTAATCGCTTAAGCTTTAATTCGAAACAAATTTTCACACATTGCAATGGCCGTGGCAGAGAATGATAAAACACATTAAACGTGGTTATCATTTTTGTGGTGGCAGCTGTGACGGTTCGACGCCTTAATCAGAAGTTTCTTTATTCTAGGATTATGTTTTACTTAATTTAAGAAGTTAGATCTCGATAGGAATGAAGATATTTTGTTGGGAGCCATACTCTTCAAGGTGCTGCTTAATGCTTCTTTGAAATCTCCTTTGAAAACGGCTCATATTCTATTCCTTCAGCTTTATTTCACTTTATTTTCACGTTTTTTGTAGCCGTTACTACTCTCTCACGACTAGAAGAGGTTTCGATCTAAGCAATTGAGATCTCTTCGCATTTAAGAGAGAACTTTCCTCTGTCCCAAATACTCAGTCGAGTAATTGACTAAGTGGCAGAGCTTGACTTGAAGACCGTTTACATTATATGACGTGCTGTCGGTCATACCTGGTGGCAATGCATGTTGGGTACCGGAAATTAGCACGCAAGTGCAGCTGGTGAAGCAAGTCTAGCCTCGTTCCTAACCTTTCATGACGACATCACCACTCGTTGTCGCCGAGTAGAAATGTCTGGATTCGAGTACTGCGGTGTGTAACAAAGCACATGCGTAGATAACGTGCATGTAGGTAAACTTTGCTTACCACATTTGTGAACGTGTTAAAGTTTTCTGGTATAAAACCTACATTGAATATCACGGTTTAAGTGCGCATAGGTGTATGGGGTGATTTTGCTACCAGTTTGAGCTGTGATGACGTCAATTTCTGCGCATATCGTTCGGAAAGTAATCGTGATTCCAAAGCAAAACTTCTGACTTGAAAATATAAAACTATACGAGTTGCATTTTATACCTCGTGCCTGCAAAACATGTAAGCGTAGCCTGCACATTAGTAATGAAGACAAAACAGTTGAATCTAAGTCAGCCATCATCCTACTCGAATACAGCGTTGGTAATTGTATTATCACCCCAAGAAAGACTTTGTCAATACCAGAGTTTCCACCTCTAGAAAATCCTCGTATAAAAAATAACTTGATATTAGCTGAGAAGTTTTTTTTTTAAATCCTTTAGGGGTTATAATTTAGTGATTCGACAAGTGGGACGGTTCCACATTTCAAGATGGTGGACGCATTGTTCTCCGAAAGTACTGATGCATGTATAGAGAACGTTGTAATATTGACATGTTTGTTAAGATCGGGACTCCTGTGCCTTTTGGCCGCATTTGTAAGTGACCAGCGGCTTTATTTTGAGATAACTGTGTCGCAATTTACGCGAAATAAAGCTTATAGTTAAGCTTCAAATTCACCACTGTTTGTAGTTTTATACGCATCTTAAATGAAAACTTTACTACCGAAATTTATATCCCGCGATTATATGTCGCGATGGAATCTCATCATTTGCGTTCGTGAATGCGATATCAGACAAGCCCTCCATTTTCCCAGACTAAATTCGACCTGTTTTGTTCTGTTTCATTATGAATAACAAAACAAATTTCTGGAATAAATGAATTGTATTGTTTTAATTTCGGAAAAAAATGAGGAAGTCAATTTAAATTCATCAAAGCAAGCACGTCTTACCCATGAACCATGTTAACTGGTTATCTATAATTCATGACAGACACAGGTCGTGTTACCTGCTTTTGAACGGCTTATGGTAGTTTGCGAAACGAAACGAAACGAAATCTGTACTTTGCGAAACTGTAGTTTGCGAAATCTGTACTTTGCGAAAGGTATTGTAAATTACATGTACGTAGTTCGGAACGCATCCTAAAAGAAACTTGAAACAACTCCCTCTACTCCTGAGATCTTTATCCGTGAAAGCTCCCGTTGGAATTCCATCACGTGCGCTCGTGAAAGCGATGTTAGATAAGCCTTACATTGGTGGTTTGTTTACAATTTACTCGATACATTTTTTGACAGAATGATTTCAACAACAGTCTGAATTCACTGTCAGCTTTGAAGACATGGATACAAGAAAAATTAAACAAAGTTTTACGTGTCCATAAGGAAGAAAGATGGCAATTAGGGACGACCCATTAGAAAAGTGATGGGGGGAGGTGGTAGGGGAATTTTTTTTGGGTCATAGATTTTTTTTTTAATATGAAAAGTAGATTTTTTTCTGTTTTTGACTTCTGTGCTGTCCATATATATATTTTTTAACAGAATCATTGGATATAAATACAATCCTATCCATGGCAAGATTTTTTTTTCTAACAAAAGGGCAAGGCAGACTTTTTTTTCCAATTTTCATTGGAATTTTTTTTTTTTGGCTGAAACTCCCCCCCCCCCCCCCCCCCCCCCCCATCACTTTCCTAATGGGTAGTCCCTTATTACAAGAAGACGACTTTGCTGTCTTCAATTCCAAAATGCAATAGTTCTTTTTTCTCTATTTTTATGAATATTCACTTATGAAATTCTACTAAAACAATTATTCACCAAATATTCATTGATAATCACTTCGCCTTGGGCGAATAATAGTTAAATATCCTAATTTCTGCTATTAATACCAGACACTCTCTTCGTAACTAAAAAAAATACATGGTTTTCTAGGTCCATCCAAATCCATTAAAGGAAGCACATTTATCAAATAAACCTTTTAACAAGTTTATATGGTTCATGACAGACAATATGAAACATGTCATGTCACCTGCTTTTTAACTTGATTTAAATCAATCATCGACAGGGTGCTGGATTCAGTTAGAGTTCAGCAGATCTCGTTGTGTGCTAGGCATCAAGGTACGTAAGCTGGTCACTGTAGTTTTAGGCTAATTGATCGCATAATCGGACCATCATCGTAACCTAAACAGATACGTTAATAATAATTAATTGTATTAGCTAATTGATTTTAGATTGGAAATACGGTGAATTACCAATAATCGATAGAAATTAGATAAAAGATACAAAAGGATTTTCCAGCAGACTACACTTTATTGCTCATAAGTATTTTTCGTCTTTCTCTTGTTCTTCTATATGTATAATTTACTTATTACACTTTGAATAACACATTTTGTGTCCCTTTGTTTCAACATGGTGAAAGTGAACCATTGTATTGTTTTAGCTTTTAAATATTAACTTACAATAGATTGTGCTTCACTGGTTCAACGGAGTAAGGAATTTAATTTCTTCACGTCACAATAGAAAGAACATAATTCCAATCTTTTTTTGATGTTAAACGAGTAAGGTTTGAACGATTTGATTTTACCACAAATCGATCAATCCTTCATTATGTGACAACCTGATGTACATAACCAGAAGTGTCCATCTCGGTAATATTCCGGCCAGTCATAATCAGATGTCCCGATAATCTGTTTTTAGACAGCCAATCACAACGCACATGCATATAGAATGGCAAGCGATTGCTTAAACCGTGTCCTACTTCCAGAAATTCCGTCAAGAAAACACATTGTAGTCGATAGAGACTAACAAAGTGAAGTTGCGGAACAAGATTTTAGACGGATTGTGTAAACTATCACTAAAAATAATTTCGATGTCATCGAAAATGGCGCTGATCAAGGTCTTCGCTGTAATTCGAGGCGCGCAAAGCATCACCCTGGGACGGCTCCTTTAATGCCTTTTTCGATCAAAGCATCATGATTTTTTTAGAAAACACAGATTACGATATAAACAGTGTAGTGAGAGTATCGGCTTAGAAAATAGGGAAAAGTTCAGACGACCTTTCAAAAGCTAGGGCACTATGCAAAATAGAATTGCCAGCGTCTTTTCTCTTGTATTGTCTTGATCAATATGTAAGATGTGAAATCTAGTCGGAGGTAAAAAATGAATCCGATGTAACGTTCGAAAGTTACCATATTTTGTATATGAAATCATGATGCTTTGATCGAAGGAAATGTTTGGAAAGAGAAAAGTATAAATGAAGTATGGACTACAACGCTTCTAGTATCGTGAAGAAATAGCGAAAAAAGTTAAAATCAATGTCTGATCTAAGAAAATTGAACGTGATTTCATGAAATAAACATTTTTTTTAATAGAAAGAGTCCACAAGCAATCAACGTGGTCGTGGTTCAGATTTTTCAGTGTATGAGGTCACAACGAATGACTTACGGTTATTCGCATTCTGTTTCCATCCGGTTTTAAAATCAAATATAAAAATATGTCCAAGTATATAGACAATATTCCATGGTCGCGCGGAGATACGGGTTTTATCATTAAGTGTTGAAAAGAAATTTCAAACTCGATAAGACAAAATTCGTATGTCCAAACGAACATGTATATATAAATATTCTGTTTATCATATAATTAGATATGAAAATAAATCGTGTCGTAAAAGCCTTTTTTAATTCCAATATATAAAGAGAAATCTCAAATGTAATCTCAAATTTTCAGTAGTGAAAAAAAAAGAAAACAGAACAAAGTTAGCAACGAGCAAACTCAACAACTATGGTTGAAGAAACTTTATTTTATGAGTATGTGAGGTGCGGAATCAATTTTGACAGTTTAATTGAACAAATACTTTAAATTTAGATCATTTTTCGACTGCATTCACAAGCAAGAGATATCACGAGATGAAGTTCATAGTACCTTTGCTACTTCTGGGTGCACTGTGCACGTGCTTCGCCGAAGGTAAGAAAACGAAAACATCATTTCACTGATGAATCAAATCACGACAATTTCATGTTGAACCTGTTGTCTTTTTATATTTAAAGCCATCAAGTGATCAATAGACTTTCACTAGTAACATGAAGTATTGGTATTCGCCAAACAATTCTGATTGGCTACTGATGAACTATATAGCCTATTCATGATGGACTATGGTTGCATCGAATGAAGCGAAAATAGTCAGAAAAAGGCCAAAGAGGCCAACGAACATGTTCTGTTTTTCAATTTTGCCTTCAGCTTGGTGGATACCGTAATAAAATAATTAGACCACTCGGTCTCTCGAGTTGGGTTTTAATAGGCTATCCGGATTTTTAGTCAAACATCACTTCCGCGGCGCAACATCATGCGGTGATGGGCTAACTACCCGTAGTCCAATCGATCTCTTGTTCTAATACTTGAATATCTAACAATTTAGTAGAAGGAGCCGATGGATTCCTGGGAGAAATATATCTATTTTTATGTCCAAGCCAGCTGTAAGTCACAGCTAGTTGCTAGGAGAAATTCAGGAGAAAGGAACTATTCACTGCAAGGAAAACTTTCCAGGAAATATTGCCAGGAAGACAAAAATTCCTAGCTAAAAAACATATAAGACGTTTTCGACCACTTAAAACGTTTGCAAGGAACAAAATATTTTAAAGAAGGAAGGTCGCACATTTGTGAGATTGTCAACAATTTACTAGTTGAAAATCCCTTTCCCAGGGAAAAAAGTCGTACACGGCCAGTTATTTAGAAGAACTGACCCCGTCGGCTCCTCCTGATTTTGACTGATTCCACAGTTTCGAAAATTTAATGGTTTAATTTAATGGTTTATCTTTCTTGGGTGGATAATCCGAGTGGGGATCCGAGTGGGAATATCAAATATATAAATTATGTTTTCCTTGAGTTAGCCAGCCTCTTTGTAACGTTATGGATCGGCTAGGTGAGGCTCAGGGGAAAAAATCAACCATGATCAATCATCTTATGTCAGAGTAAGTATTGAAATTGTGCAACTATTCGGTTGTCGAGCGACTTTTTGAAAAAAAAGCCTAGTATACATGTCAAGTAACGTTATAATACTAATAAGCCTTTTTTCCATTCAAAGGGAGCAGCCGCTGCTTTAGTTGAGTCTCTCTCATACGCAGAAACCTTTCCAAAAACGAAAGAAAGCACGAATCATTCTGACATTACAATAACAATACAAATTTGCATTTTCTCCCATTTGAGGCTAAGACCATGTTTACATAAGATAGGGTAACTCTACGTGGTAGAGCTAACTCTTTTTTTTTCTTTTCCCTGGAGGACGTAAAACAAAGACGAAAAGAGAAAAGAGAGAAATCAAATGTGGAACCAAAGGAGAAGGGATTGAAAGAATTGTAGGTGGAACGAACGTAACTACAAAAGGCCTATGGCCGTGGCAGACATCGATACAACTCAAACGTCGTGATTTTCATTTCTGCGGTGGCAGCATCATCAAGCCTGATTGGATAATCACTGCCGCTCATTGTTTCAAAGAAAATGCCAATCCTTCGGACTACAAAGTCATCGCCGGTAAGCTCTGTGAATAGCGGCATTTTTACGCTCGCGAATGCAACAGAATCCCAACTACGAATGTCATCTCGCCAGCAAAGGATTAGATACCAATGCACTTCGTGGATGAGATTACATTTGTTATCGAGATTATGTTAGTTGTCCTAAAAAAATATGAATATGATAAAATTGTAGGTAGTGTGCAAACAGTAAAAACAAAAAATAAATAAATAAAAAGCACCGACCAAATAGTGCTAGGTAGCACTAAATAGTGTGGAGTTGACGATCAAAAGCAAAGGATTCCTATTAGAGTTAGACCAGGTGAACAGGTGAAACAAAATTTCACCATTTTGAAAAGTTTCATATAGTCAACTATGAAAACAAAAGAAAACAATGCAATTAGAGCGTACTAAGGTGTAATAGTGTAATATCCTTTCACGTATTATTTGACCTCACTCTAAGAAGTAAGAATTAAGTCGCTGTTTCTGTATCCTAGTCTTCTACGCGTTTTAACGCCTATTGTTCTCTCCCCGTCGTTCAAAGTTCGATTAGCGCTAACCCTGATTTATATTAAAATAAACGCTTTGGAGTTAACGCTATGGTTAACGCTAATCGGTCTTTGAACAAGGAGAGAACTTGCGAGAACAATAGGCCGTCGTTGTAACGATTCCTACTGAGCAGAATCATTATCTCAACCATCAGGTGAGCTTAACCTTGAGAAAAAGGAAGATGACGAACAAGTAATGGACATCGAGAAGATCATCAGGCATCCAAGCTACAACGAATCGAAACTCCCTAAATTTGATTATGACCTCGCACTACTGAAACTGAAAAATAATATTACATTCAATGGCAAGGTTCGACCTATTTGCCTTCCAACAAAGCGTTTTCCAGATGGAAAAAATTGTTACGCTACTGGTTGGGGATACCTTGAACACAAGAAGGAAAACGAAACGGCGAAGAGAACCCCTATTCTTCAACAGGTAAATATTTTAAAATAAAAAAGATGTTTTATAGTTAAAATGTTTTTTAACTTGCACTTGAATAAGAAGGACGGGTTTTCCGTTAATGGGAGCTAACAGCTTTATTTTTTGCGATTTCAATACTGGGAGAAGAAGGGGGAGGTTGGAGGGTATAGATGGTGGGGTTCAATAGGTCCAGTCGACCTGCTGGAACTATGAAGACTATAAAGACTTTTCCTTGAGAAGAAAGGTGGCGCAAACGCTTTATAGGCAAATCTAGACTAAGAAATACTTCGCAGTACAATACTTCATTAAATGATCAAATCCTTTTTTTCCAGGTCAAACTTCCCCTTGTTTCTGATGGAACGTGTCGAAACCATTTCTCGAGACTGACCTCACGCATGATCTGTGCCGGCGATGGGAAAGGAGGTAAAGGCATATGCCCGGGTGATAGTGGTGGACCTCTGGCCTGTAAGAACAAATCTGGTATCTGGGACCTGGCTGGAGTTGTGAGCTTTTTCCTAGGGGAGTGCGCTCGCAAGGATAGCTATGACTTTTATACCAACATGGTTCAACTCAAAGGCTGGGTTGAAGGACAAATCAGCAAAAATTAGTACTTTTGCGCCAAATAAATGTATGAAATGTCCAACATTTGTGTTGCTTTCAACAAGATAATTTAGCGTAACTTTTAACTCTTTAAGGCAAGCACTTTTTGTTGATTTACCACATACTTCTAAACATACAAAAACATTTGTACGTTGATTTATCATAAGATGAATATCAATCAGCAGACGTACTTTACCCTTATATGTATTGGTACATATTTCTTTGTTTATCCTTACAGTTCTTCCTGTGTGGAGGGAATTAGGCCCGGTGAATGAATGATAACAAAAGATTATTTACTAATTATTTATTTATTTACTAAAAACCATATATCAATTAAATCCCAGTCTTTCGTTTAACCTTGGAAAACAATATAGGCACATATCATTTGGAGGTATATGAAATGTACTCATGTGACTTATGTGTTTACTTGCCTTTAGTTACGCATAAAGCCCGCTTTACCTCTGGGTAATTATTGGCGATTCTGGGCTACTTAGGGCGATTTTTTGTCCTATTTCCGAATATGTTTCACTGATTTTTAAATTTTTCACGAAACGTTAGATAGTTCAAATACTTTATCAACATGACCTGGTTATTTGTAGGTATTGTAAAAGTTTACATTTTTTTTCCTTAAATTAGATGTAGAAATTGGAACCGGACAAAAATCTAAAGCATTTATAAGATATTTTCTCCGCTTGAAACTCTTCGTTACTTGTGTTAACGCCTGGATTGCACTGCATACTTATTGAATTAGCTATTCCTGTAAGTATATTTGCGTTAAGTTGTACTGTCTAACCAACATTTACCCCACTAAACCGTCAAATAAACGACCCCGTACTATTCACTATGACAATTTTTATCAATGACTTGCATGATGTCCTGTCCGAAAATACTGGTTCTGCTTTTGTATACAGACGACACGAAATTGTTTCGCACAATAGTCACCCTGTTGATCGCACTCGTCTGCAGGATGACCTAACAAAAGAAGGAGACTGGAGTAACAAATCCAACATCAAGTTCAACCCTGCCAAATGCAAACTCCTGACAGTCACGCGTAAAAAAATGCCCTGTTTCATGCCGTTACCATCTCGACGGTAGGGACCTCCGGTGTATATCTGAAGAAAAGGACCTAGGGGTTATTATCTCCGTTCAAGGACCTTAAATGGGACTCGCACGTTAACTGCATTGTCAGCAAGGCTAATAGGACCCTCGGTCTGCTGAAAAGGTCATGTCTCTTGATTACGGACAGGAAAGTAAGAAGAACTCTCTCTCTCTTAATTGCTTGTCAAGACACACCTTTCCTTCGATACTGAAGTCTGGTCTCCGGCTACCGTTCACCTCAGAACGCTGTTAGAGAGGGTTCAACGCCGCGCTACATGATTGATACTCACGCAAAGCGTTGGAGAAACATCTTACAAAGAGCGTTTGAGAACATTGCATCTATTACCTCTTGTCTGCGAAAGAGAGCGAAGAGACTTAGTGTTCATCTGCAAATACATCTATGGGCACACAAATCTAGACATCAACTCATTTGTGTTATTCCAGAATCCATTCCATCACTAGTGCTTAAACCGGCACAGATCCTAATAAAAATTTCTCTACACGTGTATATATTCTTTTATTTTATTAATTAATTAGTTATAGACCTCAGGGAAGCGCCTCGCCCGTTCGCGCATTCTTTTTGGGACATTTCTTATTATTATTATTATTATGGCAGATTTTATTGACATTTCTTTGTTTCATTATTACATTAACCAGCGGACCTTAGATCTAAGCTAGTTAATTATATCTTTTTCATATTCCCTTTTTCAGTTAACATATTCATAGAACTTCTTTACAATATTTRCATTCTGACTCAAAATCCATTTCTGACAGCGTTCAATAAGATAGTTCAGTTCCATGTCAGTGTTCGTAATTGGTCTCAAGTCCTTGCGTAGTTGTTCGTGGTGTCCTCCAAGAAAGTCGAAAACGATATTAATTTGGTTCACTTCTTTACTTTTATGCTCCCTTTTGATGCCTGCGCGTAATTCTGTGTACTTTGTTTGTTTTTCATTTGATCGATCTAAGATTTTATCTACTTGGCAGACTGTCCCTTCAAGTAATGTCCAGGTATTGTCTTCTTTATCATAGACAATCACGTCGGGTTTATTTGCTCCATTTTCTGGTGGCGTTTCAAGGTAGTAGGGCACGTTCCAGTATATCTTTGCCTTCTCATTCTCAATCACTGCAGATGGTAGACTTTGTTGGTACCATGGTTTTCCATGGTCACTTTCTTGAAANTATAAGAAGAGGGTACAGAAGGAGAGGAGGGAGAATTTTATGCAGAAGAGGCTTCACGGAAAGTTTATGAGAGATGTGAGTGAAGTGGCTGATGAGAGGTCATGGCAGTGGTTAAGAGCAGGGTATTTGGGAAAGGGCACTGAGGGGTTTGTGTTTGCAGCACAAGAACAGGCTTTGAGGACGAGGTTTTTCCGAGCCACGATCCAAAAGGAAGCTGTTGATCCAAAGTGCAGGGTTTGTGGTAAGGAGGTGGAGTCTGTGGGACATTTGGCGAGTGGTTGTAGTGGGCTAGCTCAAAAGGAATACAGGAGAAGGCATGATAGAATGGGCTTGAGGGTGTATTGGGAACTGTGTAGGAAGTATGGAGTGAAGTGTGCTGATGTTTGGTATAAGGAAGTACCCGATGAGGTAAGGGTGTCAGAGGATGGTCAGGTAGAGATTTGGTGGGACAGGGGCGTCGAGACAACACAGAAGATGGAACATAATCGTCCGGATGTTACTGTGTTGAATCGGGCGGCCCAGGAGTGGACGTTTGTTGATTTCTCGGTGCCTTGGGACAAGAACGTGGTGTTGAAGGAGGATGAAAAGGTTGCAAAGTATGCACCTTTGGCAAAGGAGATAAGGAAGATGCACCGGGTATCAACAAAGGTAGTTCCATTAGTTGTTGGTTGTCTTGGGGTTGTTTCGAGTAGGTTTGTGGGATACCTAAAAGTTTTGGGTATCCCAGATGTTCTGGGTGGTATGCAGACGTGTGCAGTGATTGGGACCACCCTCATTTTAAATTATTAATTATTATTATTATTAGAATCCATTATTTACTCTATTTCGTATTTACTTTTAGTCAATAAATCTGTTAAAATACAGTAAAAGAATAAAAACGACTGTTTGGCAGCGAGAAAATCACGAAAAATAGCTTTCCTGGCAAGGAATGCTTTCTGCGAATTTTTGCCTGGAAAATAAAAATTACACATTTGTTAGTGTCATCATCAGCAATGCAGCTTAAAATCACTTTCCCAAGAACAGTTATTTAGAAGAATAGGCCCCGTCGGCTCCCGATCCTCCTGTTTAAATGCAACACTGTTTGCAGTTTTGAACGTATCGATCCCAAAGAAAAACCTGAAGCAACTCTCCTTACTACCAAGATTTATATCGAAGGAATCGCGCGATAGAATTGCACCACGTAAAATCGTGGATGCGAAGTCAGACAAGATCTCCATTTCCCCATGCCAGATTCCCACCATATCCTGTTCTGCCTCGGTATGAATACTGCATTTTGTAAGACAAGAAATTTCTGCTTCAGGTACTAGACGACGCTCTCTTCGCAAAATGAATTGAATTGTTTTCTAAAAGATGAGAGAGTCCAACGAAATCAATCCAAGCAAGCACGTCTTACCCAATGGACCATTTTAACTGGTTTACTATGATTCTTGACAGACAACATGAAATGTGTCGGGTTACCTGCTTTTGAACTTCATTTCAATCATCGACTGAGTGCATTCAGTTAGAGTTCAGCTGATCTCGTCGTGTGCTGAGACATCAAGGTAGGTAAGACTTAAGACAGTCAGATAATCAGAATACCGTCAAAACAAAATCAAATAATAGTTAACTAGTATTAACTAATTAATCATAGAGTGAAAATACTGTGAATTACCAATAATCAATATCAATTAGATAAAAGACAGCAAAGGAATTAGTATAATTCAATGATAGACACTTTAGCAGACTACACTTTATTGCACATGAGAATTTTTCGCGTAATTCGTGTTCTTTTATGTAGTGTATCATTTGCTTTATTACACTTTGAATAGTACCTTTTGTTTCTCTTTGTTTCAACAAAGCGAAAGTAAACTCTTCTATTGTTTTAGCTATTAAATATTAACTGAAAATAGATCGCGCTCGACTGGTTAACCGGGCATAAGCTTAGCGCCTGTTTTCCTGTATCAAATTTACTTTCTTCACGTCGATATGGAAAGAACACAATTCCAAGCTTTTCTCACTACATTGTTTTGGCTGATGTAAAAGGACTAAGATTTGATAGATATGGTTTCACGTCGGCAAATCTTCACTAGCAGTCCCTCTTGGCGCTACTAACAACTAAGTGCAATCTACGCTAATCAAAGAATAGGAGTGATACAAAACCATCCGATGAAATGTTCGAAATTTACAATGTTTTGTACATGAAAATATGATACTCTGATCGCAGGAATTTTTGGAACGAGAAAAGTGTAAATGAAGTATGGACTGCAACGCATCCAGTTTCGTGAATAAATTCAGAAAAATACGTTCAAATGAATGTCTGATCTAATAAATTGAGAAGGGACCATTATTTGAACGAATACTTTAATTTCCTCTCGCAGCCGTTAGAACGCATACACAAGCAAAAGATTTCACGACATGATGTTGTTAATACCTTTACTGCTTCTGGGGGCACTGTGCACGTGCTTCGCCGAAGGTAAGTAGATGAAAACATTTCACTGATGAATCAAGCCACGACAATTTCATGTTGAATCTGTTGTCTTTTTATATTTAAAGCAATCAAGTGACTCCAGCTACAATCGTTGCCAAAATACCTTGGACCGTACAATTATTTGTCTCCTGCCTAACATTTTTCTCCTTTATTTTTTCACAATTTTCCCCTTAGCCCCCTTTCATCAATGGTGGGTCTTGTTTTGGATCCTTGTGTACTATGATGACATGATCATTGACAGCATTGCATTTAGGGGGTCAGGGGGGATGAAATTGTCTGCGGGTGTTGCTCAAAACTAGACGATCATGGATGGCTTACGTGGCCTTCCTGTAGCTGTGACAATGGTCAGCTGCCGCCATTAAGTTATACGTAGTTCATTTTCACGATAGACACGATTTGATTGAAATAGTTCAAGACAGAATTCAATAAGTTACATCTTTATTACATCTAAATTTTTTACCGAACTGAACGAAGTACGACTCGCGTGAGACTTTGCTTTTTTGTCGTATGATTTACATTCATGCCTTCTAAACAAACCACAGTGAAGCCGTAGATATCGCGATCAGGCCACGAGGCCGACTGACCTACAAAACAACACATATCAAAAATGAAAACAAAGCGCGGATTGATTTAGTTTGACAACCCCATGGAAACTGAGACTGCAGACCATCTGCAACGCAGGCGCTACCAATTTGAAGCGTAATATTCACGGCGAAGAAAAGTCCACTTGCATTTTTAGACGTGGTCTTCCACACGAAGCCCACGTAATGAGGAAATTGGCTGGAATGGTCCAAGGATTTTGTCAACGATTGTAGTATGAATATCTAAAATTGGTATCCACCAAATAATTCTGATTGACTACTGATGAGCTATAGTCTATTCGTGGCTTTGGTTGTGTAGATTGATGAAGCAAATATAGTCAAAAAAAGCCCGAGGAACATTTACAATTACAATTTACATTTACAATTACAAAACAATTACACGACTCTTTTGAGCAAAAAATTGGTAGCACATCCGGCTTTGTGCGGCAAGCTACCAGCCAACATTATGGGCTAGCTAACTCGTAATCCAATCGAGCTACTTATCAATCTACTGAATTGCTCGTCCAATACCTGTCAATTTGGACTGATTCCAGTTTTGATAATTTTGGTTTATTGTTCATGGGTGGATCCAGGGAGATTAGTCCCTTCTTAGAAGATCTAGAATATATAGATACACCTGCATAAATATATAGAAAAATAAATTAAGATTAAATTTGAACTGAATTTTTAACAATCTGTTAATATATCCATTATAATATTAATACGCCTTTTTCCCGTTCAAAGCGAGCAACCGCTGCTTTAATTGTCAACAGTCTCTCATCGCAGATACCTTTCCAAAAACAAAAGGAAATAACGAAAAAATGTTGTCATTACAATAGCTCTAGAAATTTCAATCTTCTCGGATTTGAGTCTAAGCCTGTATTCCTAGAAGGTTAAAACTCTAGTTCTGATGGAAATACAGACTTAGCTTCAAATCAGAGAAGATTGAAATTTCTAGATATGTCGCAATGACAACATTTTTCGTGATTACTTCGTTCTCTACGCAAGTGAGTCTGTTGTGTACTAACAAAACGGTCGCTGTCATTGAACGGTAAAAAAGGCTTATTCATATGGTTTTGATGAACTACAGCGAAAAAAATCGAATGTGGAACCATAGGCAAGGGAATTGGAAGAATTGTGGGTGGAAAGAGCGTTACTACAAAAGGCGCATGGCCGTGGCAGATATCGATAAAATCTAGACGTGGTTTTCGTCATTTTTGTGGTGGTAGCATCATCAAGCCTAATTGGATAGTCACTGCTGCTCATTGTTTCCATCCAAATCCCAATCCTTCGCATTACAAAGTCACTGCCGGTAAGCTCAATGAATAACAGGCATTTTTACGCTCACGAATGCTACAGAATTCCACTTAAAAATGTCATCTCGTCAACAAAAGGTAAGATTCCAATGGTTGGTAGTCATGGACCGATTGCAATTCGTGAGTGAGATTACATTTATAGTATTTTGGATTATGTTAGCGGTCCTAACACATGGCCAATATTATGCAAAAAAGGTGTCGATGTATTGCTGGTAGAGTGCAAACGATAAAGCAGTTAAAAAGTACTGGGCAAATAGTGCTAAATAGCGCTAAGTAGTACTGAGCAAATAGTGCTAAATAGCGCTAAACATAATGTGGAGTAAACGATAAAAAAACAAAGGAATCGGCATGGAATCACTATCAAATTTGACTATTAAAATGTGATATAGTATCAAATAAAAAACAAAAGAAAACAAATGCAATTGGAGCGTACTATGGTGTTTAAGTATATGATGTATTCCAAGCGTTCTTTTGCTTCATTCTTAGAGATAAGCCAATCGTGGTTTCTGAGAAGGGTAAACTTACATATTTTGAATTCATGTAGCATGCGACAATGTTATGTGAAATATGTGCCTAGGCTAGTCCGAGTTGAAACGCTCGGTCTATTGTTCTCTCCCCATTTCAAAGCGCTAATCCTTTTATCTTAAAATAAACGCTTTTGAGTTAAGCACTGGAAAAGATCGCGCGCTTTAAAGGCTGTAAATTTGATGTAAATATGATGTGTGTCCAAATTCTGTAAATTTAATGGAAATCATTTACATCAAAATTACAGCATCTATGGGCACTTACATCATATTTATATCACATTTACAACCTTTAAAACGCGCGAATTTTTCCAGTGAAGGCTAGGGTTAAAGATAATCGGCCTTAGAACAAGGATAGAAAAATAGCTCGTTTGTTGGTGACGGTTACTTCCTACTGAGCAGAGTCATTCTCTTAATCATCAGGTCAACTTAACTTCCGAAAAAAGGAACGTGACGTGCAAACATTGGACATCGAGAAAATCATCAGGCATCCAAACTTCAACCAAAAAAAAAGCCCTAAATTTGATTATGACATCGCACTACTGAAGCTGAAAAATAAAATCACATACAATGACAAGGTTCGACCTATTTGCCTTCCAAGGAAACGTTTTCCGGATGGAGAAAATTGTTATGCTACTGGTTGGGGACGCCTTAAGGAGAAGAAGAAAAACGAAAGTCCGAAGACACCCAATATTCTTCAGCAGGTAAATATTAATGGCTTATGATTTTGGCATTCGCAGAACGATTCCAATACTGAGAGAAGAAGTCCAAAGGCGAGGAAAATTATGAAGATTTTTCCTGAGAAAAATAAAGTGCGGCAAACGATTTACGGCGAAGTTAGTACTTCATCAAATAATGAAATCCTTGTTTTCCAGCTCAAAATTCCCCTGGTCTCTGATAAAACGTGTCGAAGAAGATTCAGGTTGATGAGCTCGCGTATGATCTGTGGCGGGTATAGGGAAAAGGGTAAAGGCGTATGTCAGGGTGATAGTGGTGGACCACTGGCCTGTAAAAACAAATCTGGTATTTGGGACCTGGCTGGAGTTGTGAGCTTTGGATGGGGGTGTGCTCGCAAGGATACATATGACTTTTATACCAACATGGTTAAACTCAAGGGATGGGTCGAAAGACAAATCAACAGAAACTAGTACTCTTGCTCCAAATAAAAAATAATGATGAATAAATGAATGAACTGTTGAACGTTGTCTATTTGAATTTACTGTACACTTATGTTAATTGAATCCCAGTTCATCCTATTTTATATTATTATTTGTTTCTGGCGAGGCTTTTGCGTAAGAGATTCTGAAATCAGCGGTTATCCGCTTTGAACTCGAAAATGGAGTATTTCACAATGGAAAGACTATTTGTTAAGACTCATTCTAACATTCGCGCGGGATACCCGCGATTTTTGTCCGATTCCTTATTTTCAGGGATGGGAGGGTACTAGGACAAAATTATAATGTCCGACATGTTAAAAAGTAATTTTTCTGCAAAATCTGTCAGTTTTAGCCATTTTAAAGCACTAAAAGGTGGGAAAAACTTGAAAAAAAAAAACGTTTTAACGTACTTCCTTATAAAGTAAGATGTGGGCGTAAGTAATGTAGGGCTCTAATGGAGTACCTGTAAAGCAGTTAAGTTTGCAGTAAAATAAAATAAACTAGATGCATAGCGGGGTTCTTGTTGATAAGAATCTAGTACTGAATCCGCAATATTAATATTCAGCGTAAATTGTTATATCGATAAAGTTTGTATACTTTCGTAGTTTGGTAAGACTCGTTTGCACTGCAACAAAATACGGCTAAGAGAAAACCCTAATTAACATAGCAGACATTGCATAGTACCAATAAATATCACCCTTTATTAAGAACGATGTCCAAATAGGCTACTCTTAATGTTGCCTGTATAGGAAATCTCACCAAAAATGCTTCAATCTCGCCAATACTTGTTGGACTTCGTGCATGAATCGACACTGAATTTCCTATAATTACTAGAACTCAGTGGATACCTTTGCAAAATGCTTCCTTACTTCTTAGACCTGAGAACATAGGCTACCCAACTATTGCTTGAGAGAAAGAAAAGAATGAATGCGCACGCTTTTATATTATGTTATCGAATCGGCGTGCGCTGTGGGTTTAGGCATAGGCTACCCAACTATTGCTTGAGAGAAAGAAAAGAATGAATGCGCACGCTTTTATATTATGTTATCGAATCGGCGCGCGCTGTGGGTTACCTGTGGTATTACCTGTGGTATTACGTCACTATCGCGCGCCTCGCGGGATACAAACTAGTCTGTGACAAGGTATGAAACACTGGTCACGTGATGGACCGATGTGCGCCCCAGGTAGCTTGTCTATCCCTCCCTATCGTTTTTTTTCGTATGGACTTCGAGAGCTTTCGTAAACAGTCGTATCGCTCGAYATTTHTCCGATGGTCGACCGATAATGTCGCTCCCTTTCGTCGCTCCGTCGCTGCCACATATTCACTGCTATATTCACACTATAAACTTGGTTGATCTTTCATTGATTTTGCTCGGGTTTCTTTGTAGTTTTTGTTGGAAACCTACATATCAATGTTTTGAGCTTGACTGCTTCGTGCAAGAGATGGGACTGTGCATAGTAAGGAGTAATTAGGCTTAAGAGAAAACATGTTTTTCAAGACACTTGAGTCACCTTGAAAACCGATGAAGCAGATCTAGACGTCGAGGTCGTGGATTTAGTTTACAGGTCTTAGAGTTGTTTGTTTGTGACATAGATTAACTATGTTTATGAGCAGGAATCAAGCTGATGGAGTGAGTAGTTGGAAAAGAGATATATCTTTACATGTAATGATAGTTTTAGCCAGATTTTTTTTGTTAGTGTAAACCCACGGAAAAAATTATTTGTGATGTCAAAGCCGGAAAACTCGAGTGAGCAGTAAGCCTACGTTTTACCGCTTGGTTTAGCTATTTATGAGGAAGAATTCGTCTATTTTGATAATGAATAATGTCGTCTAATAATTTTAGATGCTTGAAAACTTGAAAACGCTTCGTTAAAAATCTGGTAAAATGAATTGTAAGATTGCATGTACAACTTTGGTTTTTTACTGAAGCTAAGGTGTTTGAGATCAACACTGTTCAAAATCATGTATATTTGTACTTTGAAACTGTAATAAAGCTTTTCAATATTATCAATATGAACTGTTAACTGGATTAGATTTTTAATTTTATTACAACTATTAAGCTCATATTTGTCATGTTTTTACTAATGTTTCTTTTTCTGAATCTTGAAGACCTCGAAAGGTTTCCATATTTTATAACTTTTTAATTTGTTTTTGTTTATATTACATTTTTCCAGCGTGTTTTCTTTTCCTTTTTTTAAGAAAACTAATTTATCCTTGACTTTCATTTTTACCTCGAGGAACTCACGAATGTTTTCCGAAAGCTCTCGAAGTCTATCCGAATGAAAATGGGTAGGGAGGGATAGACAAGCTACCTGGGGCACACATCGGTCCACGGCGAGTGAAATGCTTAATGTTCATTTTCTCGTCATGTAATAAATATTTCATACTGAAAATCGTGAGGTAGTTAGACAATCTGACGATGTGTTGTTTGTTGAAAGAAAATCGTCGTTTTCTACTGTTTTTCGTTGAAAAAGGAGCAAAATTATATTTGTCACGTGACCAGTGTTTCATACCTTGTCACAGACTAGTTTGTATCCCGCGAGCGCGCGATAGTGACGTAATACCACAGGTAACCCACAGCGCACGCCGATTCGATAACATAATATAAAAGCGTGCGCATTCATTCTTTTCTTTCTCTCAAGCAATAGTTGGGTAGCCTATGCTGAGAACAGTACAGGGTTTTGTGTTATTAAATGGGACAGTAAGGAAGCTACTGAAATGAACTAACTGATCAACTAATCAAAAGGCAAAATGGGAAGAACTGGGCATTAAACCATGACAGATTGTAATATAACGATCTAGCAAAAAGGGTTAGCATACTGTTATACCGTTCTTTTGATTAAATTTCGATATACCCATTTCCAAGAATAATTATTGCATTTTGCTGCTGCTGCTATTGTTGTTGTTGTTGTTGTTGTTTTTGATAATTGCTTTCAAATGCGGTAAGTCATCTACATAACTATAACGGTAGTCGATTTTAGCAGATTCCATTGTTTGCTGTGGAAAAGATGAATAAGTCAATATTGCATTTCTTTAATGGTTTTTGTTAATTCTGTGGAAGAGTTTTTTCATTAAAATTTTAAGTAATGTAGGGCTATAATGGAGTACCTGTAAAGCAGTTAAGTTAGCAGTAAAATAAAATAGATAAGCTAACAACAACGAGAAAATTAATCGAGAAATAATCAAAACATGTTCTCGTTCCATTGATTGAAATCTTCAATTCTGCTTTATTTCCTGTGAGTTTTTAAAACTTAGAGCTATTCACAAATCCAAATACTTTAAAAGCAAGAAGTCCATGAATTTATTGCTAGTGAAAATATCAATATCTTGAATCAGACCTGACCGCAAGACGTTCTTCAATTAGAGGAATGACTAAACCCAGAAATGGGGCTCAGAACTCCTTCGGCAGACCAAACATCAGAGCAGTGAAACTCAAATGTGCTTCGCGGCACACTAAAAATTTAGGGTTTTTTATCTTTAATTAAAAACATGATTAGTCTTATATATAATCAATTATGTCTTGGGACAATAATAAATTACATTGCAGTAAATCACCAAATTAAAAATACAATGTATTTACTCAATTATTTATTTTATTTATTTTATTTTTTTTTTCTTTTTATTGTTTTAGAGTTCAAATTACAAAGAACTATTGTATAACAATACTGTGAAATTCATCATCTTGATTATAAATTTGCCCATGTCTAATTTTAGACTTGCCCAAGGCGGACTCTCCTTACGGAAAGGGCGGAAAACGGACTTTAATTTGCGAAAGTTAGTCCAATGTGTCACAACACAACACTTTCTGACAGTTTTGTACAAGTCGATCAGTATAACGTGTTGAATTGACATTCCATTTCATATTTTTGTGTTATGTTTGTAATAGTTCACTAGTGGAGAATGCTTTTCTTGAATTAGTAAAGGATTTTTATTGTAATGATAAAACTGTTTTAAAATATTGTAGTAGTGACCAACGCATTCCTCTAAAATGAATTCTAAAAAATTATGAAAAAATCTCTCTTTCCAGTTTTAAAGAAAGTTGCTAAAACAAAATAGTGAAGCTTTTTCTTTTTTTCCCTTTGTTTTTCTTTTTGAAAGTTACTAATGACAGTTGACCCCCTATATAAAGTGCTTTTCTTAAAACCTTGAAACAAATTGTCATTCACTAAAGACCAAAAATAAAAGAAAGAGTAATTACAGTGCACTTACAGTCGATTTCAGCTTATCACAACCATTAATCAATAATCTGCCTCATTCACCCTGAGTCACATGCAGTCCTCGACTGCCTATGTTTTAGTTTTTCTTCGAAGCTTGAGTGTTGTGTAATCACTAATTGCAAAGCCCATGAAGCGTGTTTAAAAAGGGGTTGAACAGTGACAAATGTGCAGGCATAATGACCTGTGTGACAACCTGTTCATGGGACTTGATATAATTTCGATGCAAAAGCTATATTCAGTAGTCAGGTTCAGCTGATCTCGTCGTGTGCTGTTGACAAAAGGTAAAAAATAATGCATTTATATTACATTCATATAATGTTAAGACTGATTTACACGGTACGATTTGTCGCTCGCGACTTGTAGTATAAAGATTAAAATTCTTTTGTTTTATACACGACCCAAGCTCTGGCTCGAGCAAATGGGTAATCCTGACTATTAAACGATTAGAAACTTAAATAATGCAATCACTATTTTCTAGGTACAAGTTCCCTTGATTTCAATGAAAGATTGCAAAGAGGCCTACAACAAAAAGAATATACATAACATTCTTCTGCCCATTACATCACGCATGCTTTGTGCTGGCTCTCTCAAAGGAGGTAAAAACACATGCCATGGCGATAGCGGTGGACCATTGTCCTGTAAGACCGAATCTGGTATCTGGGAGCTTGTTGGTGCTGTGAGCTGGGCGCAGGGCTGCGCGCGCAAAGGGATACCTACCGTGTATGCGGACATGGAAAACCTCAAAGACTGGGTTCAAACCACTATTCAATAATACTAGTACGCATGCTTCCACATGAATAAATGAATGAACTTTTGAATTGTTTGCCTTTGCTTAAATTCGAATTAGTTCCAATGTGAAAATAAGAGCTTAATTAAAATCTATTAAAATACGGAATTCCAAGAAAAATGAAAGACTGAATGATACTGTTTCTGCTATTGTTGTTGATATTGTTGTTGCTATTATTATTGTTTTTGTGATTGTTGTTGTTGTTGTTACTGTTGATGTTCTTTTTGTTCTTGTTATTGTCGGTGATGTTATTGTTGTTGCTTTGTTGTTGCTGTTGCTGTTTCGTTGCTTATCGCTTTCAAATGCAGTAATTCATATGCATAACTAATTCCGGATTTTAGTAGCAATATTGCATTTTTTCATGGTTTTTCTTTGGGGAGGAGTTTTTGATTGAGATGACTTAAGTAAGGTAGGACAATGGAATACCTGAAAAAGTAAACTATCACCACCGAGGAATTCAATCGAAAAAGAATCAAAACATGTCTCCATTGATTGAAATCTTCAATTCTGCTTTGTTTCGAGTTTTTAAAAACTTAAAAGCTATTCACAATCGAAACATTTTAAAGCAAGACTTTAATCAAATCCTCCATTTTTGAATTTAAAGTGTAAAAACGATGCTTTAAATGACAACACAGAGCGCCTTACTGGCTGCACACGTTCATTTGGGCTCCCGCTATTTTACAAATTTTCTTATTTATTTCGGGACTCCCAATATGTTTCGCTCTCTAGTTAGCTATCTAAGTCGACTAGGTATCTCTTGTATCAGTTTTACGATTCTTGCCGCGGATACCACTCAACACCCAATTATGGAGGACTATCACTCAATTTGGGATATCAAGAGTTAGGCCTACACGCCGTGGTTGTAGGGGAAGAGCAAGTAAGCCTAGCAATATATCTATCTACGGCCTTTCCTCTAATTCATATTCGCTGACATCTGTGGGGTTTCGTTATCAAGGAATTCAAGATCAAGATGTATGTCATTTACATACTGACTCTAACGCCTCATTAACTATTTAAGTTGGCACCTACACAAGCGGCAATACCAACAACAGCATGCCAGAGTCCTGCTCGATCATGCCTGTCAACTGTTCGCGCGGCTACTCTACGCCATGCTTGTCTGTCCCTGGAGAAACTGTATTGTCTACCTCAACAGCTAGCTCTTCAGCGTTGACCGGCCTCGAGATCAGAGTGGGTCGTCTAATGATGTGGTTGTTGTCTCGGCACTCTCCTCATTGTTTCTTTCGGATCATTGTTTCGCCGAGTGCTCTCTTGCCATTCCATGCACTGCAGGAACTGCAACTGAAATATCGTTTCGCAAGTACAAGGACATTGTCGTTACAGCTTTTGAGAGGGACATTGATAACTCTCACCAAGCTAGACTCAGTGATTGTGAGCTCGTAGATGGCTATGATCGTATTCTGGGCGCAATTCTTGATGCGCATGCTCCTCTCCGTCGTAAGATCTTTGTCTCTCGCCCTAGAGTACCCTGGTTTAATGACGAGCTTAAGAGTTTGAAGTCTAGTCGGCGGAAATTGGAAAAAAAGATGAGACAAACTAACCTCGATTCTGATATCATGGCTTATCGCACAGCATGCAATCAATATTGTCTTCGTCTGAATGAAGCCAAAAGGAAATCTTTATTGATCTTTATTGAAGAGTGTGCAGGAAGCTCTTTGGCCACATGACAATCCACGTTATCTCGCTGATGAATTTGGTGAGTTCTTCTGCCGCAAGATTGATCTCATTACGCAAGATATTGGAAGTTTTTCTCGGCCTCCTCAACCTGTCCTCTTTATTCCATCACCCTTTGCTAGATTGACACAGTTTTTGCCCGTGTCTGAAGCTAATGTACGTGACATAATTTCTTCATTGATAGCTGCATCACCACAAAACAATTATTTGAAAAAAACAATATATTATCCCGAGATCTATGCATGCAATTTCCCTTTGTCATGTTTCAAACTCAATGTTAGTTTTTCTGTCAAGTTGATATCAAGACGTTTTGTAGTTAGATACTATTTCAAGTTTTTCTCCTTTGATGGTTACCTATTGGATGTTTGCTACAGAGACACGAGCATCTCTTTGCATTTTGATGTATTACGTTTCATACGACGGCTGTTGATATGTTCAGCCATTTGGTCGACACTTGCCTGCATAGTACTGTGATCTTCGTTAAGGGAAGCTTTCATCAACTGTTAGGTCGTTCATATATTTCCATCTCCAAGAGTCTTGTCGAGCTAGAGCGTTGACCACAACGAGAAAGAGGTTGGACCAAGCACGCTACTCTGGGGGATCCTGCTGCGACATGCTTCCAAGACGACATGTGTCGACTGAAGCAGACTCTACATCTACATCTACATATACGTCTACATCTACATCTACATAGTTCCAGCACTTGGCAACGTTCATTGGGTTACTAGCTGTATATTAGTATGAGGTCTCATTGACTAGTAACCTTTGACGAACACTACGCCAAGCCGACCTCAATGCTGGTGAGATGAGCCCTGGCCACACCACCGGGAACTCCGTGCCCTACTCTTAGTCGAATAGTGTTATGGGTTCTTTATCGTCCCTCTGATGCTAATGAGAAGTGTAGAGAGACGGGACCTCCGATTTAACGTCGTTATCCGAGAGGACGTGAAGATCTTACCATTTGCAGATGGAGAAACAAAGGCAGCAACTTCACTCAATTATTTTAAGACCCTGAGTATTGGTCTGGTCACGACCTCCCGCATTGTAATCCGATGCTCAACCAACCGAGCCAATCGGCTTGCGGTTGTCTTCCAGTAAGGAAACTCCGTTTACAGGCGAGAATGGAACGATGTATGTCGTAGGATGCCAATAGCGATTTTGTGATACACCCTGTCGAATCCCTTACTAAGGTCGTAGAAGCATAATCGGGCTGCTTGTTTTTAGGTATCTGTATTCATATAGAGAATGTCCATAAGATCGACCAGTGCAGCAGTGCATGAGTATCAGGCTCTCTCGAAGGGGTTTGGGGCGGAGCGAGAAGGGCCGAGAGAGAGCCTGACACAATCTTCTATCGAGAGCAGTTCCGCACCTTGCAATGCGTGACGCGTGACAATAAATTTAAGTTGATTAAAAGCTGTTCCGGTTTGCTGGATTTCGAGATGTGGCGGTCATATGACAAAATTTGACTATTACATGAATTTAAAAGTCGCAGCTTTTATTCCGATTTTTGCAAGCTTCTCAACTTGTGGACGTCTAATAAGCTCTAGAGGGTTGATCACTATAATCTTCAATTGTTTTACTTCGTTATAGGTCGGTGTAATGTTGTGTTATATGAGACGTTTCCGTTAATCGGTTTGTTTAGTGTACGCGTAAAAACAAACCGATTCAAGAATGGCTCGATAACTTTGTAAAAAAACCTTGCAAAACACAATATTAGTGACATGTATATTGGTCAACTTTTTTGCTCTATTGGAAAACTGTTTTTGAAAAGTATAAACTGCAAAGAACGGACAATACCATTTCTGAAAGTTATTCATCAGGAAGCGATGATTTGGAATTTCACGTCCAACTCCGATGACATAGTAGATTATCGCTCCAGGACTACGCATTTCGCGGCACTGCAATTTGGAGAGAGACTAGATACTAGTTTTTCGATAACTTTATTGCGCTGTAAAAAAATAAGAATTTATTCAAAATCGGAAAAAGAGTGCAAAAGGACTATTTCTGAAGTCTTGGTAATTATTTTATTTCATTTTTTTCACATTATAGGAGCACTTTAATTCAAGAATACCTCAGTAGCATAGATATTCAGTCTACATAAATGCATTGGTTGTTGAGCTTGTTTTTGATCTTTGTTGTCTGCAGAAACCATCAATTAATTCCTTGTAAATATAAATATTCGGGGAACCTTTGTCCAAATGCCTTTTCTAGCAAGATTTTCAAAGAAACTATCTGCCAGTTTTTACAGAAATGAAGGTCGTTGAATGGGTGTAAATGCAAATGGATAAACAACAATTCTCATAGTTAAATCCGTATCGGATCAACTTATATTGATAAGATTTCCACAAGTTTGAATTATATGCTTAAGAAGGAGGGATTATCACTGGTAATGAAAAAGTAGGTCATGACATATATTTCACGTAAATTATTATGGTGTTATCTTCCCAAGAAATCATTGAGTGTCTACGAAAGCCAATGAACTTCCTGGACAAATTAAACAATTGTTTGGACCTACTAAACATACTCTTTCAAAAAAAGTCCTATTGATTTTGCTTATATATACGCCACCGCAACTGGGAGATTTGAATTTGAAGGGAAAGCTTTTCCTTCCGGTCTTAGAATTTCTCCGATTTTCAACTTAGCAATCATTTTCGCTACTTTGAAGACGGCGCTGTCAAAGGGATTATGTGTCACTTGTTTAGCTCAACCTAATTTAAAATGCGAGAAGTTCAGCTTGTATTGTTTGTTCAACTAATTAAATCGATGCAAGGATGAGAGGAAATGAGCTTGATGCGTTTGTTAACTAATTAAATGCGAGCAGTGGAACATTATGAATCAAAATCATGATAGAAAGGTACAATGGCCTTTGAAAAGAAAACAACACAATCTCTGAGTACGGTCCCATAAAGCAAAAGGATGTTCCCCTTTAAAAAGACTAGATTTACTTTTAGACGTAACAATCGACGTAACTATTTAGTCGAGTTTAGCTGCATAAACTACCGTGGGAGGGGACTAAGTCAATCATTTTGAGCTTCAAATTAAGTCTCCTTTTTCGGAAAATTGAACAACACGATAGGGTCTGCCTACTTTAATAAACCAAACCCAATGAGCCATATGAAGGTGCAGACCATTTAACAATTCCGGGTTTGGTTGGTTGCTATCCGTTCCTGCACAAGCGACCCTGCCCCCGCCCCCCCTTTTTGGTGTATGTTGTTGGTGCTGTCCAGCAGGATATTTTCTCTTGCCAGCTCGTTATCTTTCTGGTGAATATTTGTCTTGATTTTCTCTTTGGTTGAAGTCTCGAATATTAAACTTTTATCGTTAACAATACTATATTAATTTTATTTCTGTAACCCTCCCCGAAATTGTCAAATGACCTATCCCTGACTGGTTGAATGACTATGGATAGCAAATGTCACTACCTGTTTTTGGATTTGTAATTCATCGGAACAAAAACTGCATTTCACAGTCAGATTCAGCTTATCTCGTCGTGTGCTGTGGCACCAATTAGGTAAGTAAGTCAATCATTGTTTTTTATAAATTCATAGAAACAAATATTACCAACATTTTAAATTTGAGTTTATTGGCTCTAAAATCCTTGAAAAAATATTACACTTTATTTCATCGTTTTTATTTAGTTCCATTTTGAACCGCATTGCAAGGACTACTCCCGATCTAAAATCCACCCTTCTTAAGACACTGCTGCAGAGGTCGACAGCTCTAAGGCGACTAGTATAGGATTGCAGAGCAATTACTTACATTGTACTCTGAATTATCAAAAATGAATTTTTTTACCAGTAGAAATTCTTTTATGCCTTTTGTATACCAGGAAACCAATAATTCTTGGTTAAAAGGGTTACGTCACACCGGCCATCTTGGAGAAACTTTAACAAAGGATTTCTCATTAGTATCTATTGTTCATTCCTACAACATGGCCGCCGGTCTTTTATCTTTTGAACCTCATAATTGGATTGGGTGAACGATCAATATCAAAGTTAACGTTTTGTTTATATGAGATAGGTAGTAGAGCCAAACTCTTTTGTTTCCTTTTCCCTTAAAGATTTAAAACAAAAAAGTTTGACTCTACTTCGACCTATCTCGTGAAAATATGGCCATAAAATTGAAGCAATTACATTTTTAGATCAACCGACTATGTTCCTGAAAAAATCAAAATTTCACGAGATAAAGTTTGCAGCATTATTGATGTTTGTGGGAGCTTTGTGCCTCGCTGAAGGTACGTTAACAAAAAACACAAATGAATTCATTTTCTGTTTGTATTCACATAATTAACGACAATAAAACAACTTTGAGATGCCGGTGCCTACCAGGTACTTTTAAAATATTTTTTTTTAACTTTACAAATCCCAGCTTTTTCCTACATTAAGAAACAAAAGGAAAGCTAATAAGATCATTTCCTTAGATTCAGATGTTAAATAACTCCCCTGCCTCTAGCAGCATATTAATTGTGTTAAATCTGTAAGTGTTAGATAGGCGTCTATAATGTGTTCATTCTCCGGCTCTTCCCCATTAAATATGGAAGCCTATCTAATATTTGCTAATATTTGCCTCTATATATTGTTTTGATTCTCAAAAGCCGAAGAAATCGAGTGTGGAACAAAAGGTAAAGGAAACGAAAGAATAGTTGGCGGAGAAATAGCTAAAAAAGGTGCATGGCCTTGGCAGATATCGATAAAACGCAAATGGGGTTCTCATTTCTGCGGTGGCAGCATCATCAAACCTAATTGGATAGTCACTGCTGCTCATTGTTTCCAACCAAATCCCAGTCCTAGGAATTATCAAGTCATCGCCGGTAAGCTATTTGAATCAGATAGTGCAAACAATGTACCTGCAACGACCTGCAGTTCTTATATATAATTTAAACCTAATTTGTTGCTATATTAACATATATCAAAGATCATGATATCTTAGAAAAACTTTTAAACTTATAAAACTATACTACTGTCGAATAACCTGGAATTCATGACTTGTCGTGATCAATATAAAAAAAAATTGCATTCTTACAAAAAGAAAGCAAATTGTAAGCTCTAACTCTAAATGTTTAATTATGTTTGGCATTTGGAGTCCCTCAATGATCAATACTATACGATGACTGTCTTTGATGTGCTATTTAGAGAGATTTTTATGATCACGGTGTCTTTCACGATTATTGGACTCGTCTACAGGTACACGGAAGTATTCGAGAATTTTCGCAAACTCTCTTTCCAACTGATATGCCTGAAAGCGCTCAGTACGTAAAAATGAGAACATGTTTGCATTTGAAAAGAAAATGTAGACAAAACAATTTCCGCCATCATTTAAACTAGGTATTATTGATAGGTTTCGTAATGACATCATATCTCAATCAATAGGTGAGCACAACATCAACAGAAATGAAGGTGACGAGCAAATAATGAACATCAAGAAGATCATCAAGCATCCAAACTACAATGAATCCAAAGATCCTACATACGACTATGACATCGCACTAATGAAACTAAAAAACAATATCACATACAATGACAAGGTTCGACCCATTTGCCTTCAAACAAGACGGTTTCCGGTAGGGACTGAGTGTTCTATTTCTGGTTGGGGAAACCTTAAGGAAAAAAAGGAAGGTGAAAGGAGGAAATCGCCCTCAAAACTTCATCAGGCATGTACTAAACTTTTCCTAAGGGAGTGAGGGACATTTATCTAATGGTCACGTCAAGCTTTTCATTTACAACGAAATTTTAAAAAATTCTATGAGAATCAGTACCTTTTACCATGAATAGGCAATCCAAGCAATATGTGAATGGGCAAAAATAGAATAAATTGTGGTAAATTTAAAAAAAACTTTTCAAATATAATTTACTTCGATGATGTGGTATTTTCTTGAGAATTTGAAGTATACTTTGAAAATTTATTGGAATTCAAAGAGGAGATCCGCAACATTCAACTTTCAAACCTTGATAATCGAAAGGTTTTTTTAATTATAGATTCACAAGCTTATAAAGGAACTTAAAATTATAAAATTATTCACTTGTGAATATGTTTCAAACGCTGTATGGATATCAACAAATTCTTGAAAAAATGAATTTTTTTAGGCCAAAGCTCCATTGGTGTCTAACAGCGACTGTAGAAAGGCTTACAGACATTATCTAAGCTATCTTAGCCCACGCATGCTCTGTGCAGGCTATGCGGAAGGAGGTATCAGCACATGCCAGGGTGATAGTGGTGGACCGCTGGCCTGTAAGAACAGATCTGGTATCTGGGAACTGACTGGAGTTGTTAGCTGGGCAGTAGGTTGCGCTCGCAAGGATAAGTATACTGTGTTTTCAAACATGGATGAGCTCAACGATTGGGTTAAAGACACTATGGCGGCCAATAACTAGTACGCATGCTCCAAATAAATGAATGAACTCAAGACAGTACGTGTTGTTTATGATGTGCACCATTTTACCCTTTGATTCCAGCGATTTTATAAACCACAAAAATATCTTTCTTTACAAACTTTGCTCAAAAGCATCGGGCTTAGGGGTAGTCGTCTGGAAAAGCGCTAATGAGCGCATAAATCTTTTCTACAATGAATATTTTTAAATAGTATAGCGCAAAACTATCGTCTATGCGAAGCTCAAGTTTTTTAGACATGGTTCTGTTATCATGTACTTTTCGCTGACCATTTTTCTTTGCCAGAGATGTTAGTATATGAGGCTTGCTAAGCTAGCTTGAACTAAGGGGTCTTGAAGACTAAAACCCATTTGATAACACCTGTTTCAGTGAAACTGAAATTTCCCATCTGCACTAACATGCAGCGCTTTGCGCTTCTGTAACGTCAAACTGAGCTGGTATTGAACATTCCTTGACCTTAGTGGCATCGTAAGAGCTGCTTGCAGAAACCTTCGACCTTTATGACAGATTATAGATCTTGAAAATATCCAACTTAATTGTGCTCTCTTGTCACAGTGAACGTGATTATTCGGAGAAAAATTAAATGTCTATAATCATAAAAATATATAATATCAGGACTTTCCAAATCAAATAATTGTCTTAAAGTGCATTCTAGTGCGACGTCTTTTGAAATAGTCTAGGTGATGTGCTACACATTTTGTTGAGGTAAAAACTGCTCTTTAATTGCACTTCCAGTTAAAGACATTGAAAATAAACAGTTTACCGTGGACGTCACTGCAATCCCTTGGGAAGTGAAGCTATGCACAGTCATTCCCAAGTGACATGTTTTTTTGGGTAGCTTTGCGTAAGTTAATCAACGGAGGTAGTGTCTGAAATTACGAAAGATTTTTATCTACAGGTGGTATGTCACCATGGATTTTGATGAACTTGGTTTGCCGCCTCGATAGAATTAAGAAGCTGATAAACGTATGCTTCCCATCCTGATATAAATTGTTTCCAGAGCTTGATACGAGATCCATCTTGAGACTCTTTGCAGGGTTGGGCTTAAATAATTTGTCTCCAAGTCTTGTTGATAGACTGCAAAGTGTTCCTTAATGCATGGACGCACGTTAACATGCTTCTTGAAGTTCTTTCAGTTTCACTTGATCAAAATTTGTTGAATATAGGTTGCGCAAGTGGTGCCATATATCGTGATGGTCAGTTCTTAAACTGCTGCCATTTTATATATCTGTTCAGCAATTTCACTAGATTCACTGTTTTTACCCGTCTTAAAGATTGCAGGTGGCTGGAAAAGAGTGTGCTGTCATGGACATGTATTATTGTCGAGTAAAATGAAAAATAAAATCTTTAAACGAAGTTAATATCAGATGTTGGACAGCGTCGCGGTTGTAGGATGGTCGATTTCGACAGGAAATCTTTCCCATCTGGAGACTCGGAGAATGAACTCTTGCTTTCATTTCCTAATCGCCTGTTAGTTAGCACCTGTCGATAGATAATTACAGGCAGTTAAAGCGATCACCGTTCATGAGAAAGCTTTATACAAATGTTTTAAAAGCCTCAATTCTGTAGGAGTAATCAGACAAATTCCAGACAAAGTCACCAACAAAAAAATTTAAAAGGATTTTTATTGTAAATTTACGCCAATCAAAATCCCCATGAATATCGTTAATTGAATCAGTAGGTTTTTTTTAAACTTTAATGAGAGCTGAGAGCCCATGAATTCTAACGAATGACTTGATATATATTCCGAAAAAAACATCTTGTAAGCATAATGATACCTCACGCTTTATACTTTGTCAGATTATTCAAAGTTATAGGATTCACTCATACAATTTTCTAACCAATAGATTTGTGAAATTGCATTAAGTACACGGACATCATAGAATCAAATTTGGCAAATTTGTTCTAAAAACTCTTTGTATTAAACGTTTATACTTTTTACGCTCTTATGCCACTGTTTTCTTCGGTGTTTGATATTAATATCAGCATTAAAGTACACATACTTAGAGTGTGCAATAAAATATAACACTAGAGATAATGATAATTAATTATGCGCCATTATTTATTTCTTTTGTTTAGAAATATTTGAGTCGTTCTGTTGCATATTATAAAGTTTTCCTGGGTTATTTTTTTTACTAAAATTAAATGGAAGGTTGATAGGAACTGACTTTGCACTCTTTATTTAACTAAGTACAGTTTATTTTAGCATTCAGTCTCAGTAAATAACGTCTACTTCCTACGTTACTATACTATTCCGACAATGGTTAGCTCATCTTATCGTGTGCTGTGGATACAAACAAAAGATGTTTTAATCAATCATTGTATTTTTTATGGATTTTCTAAAGTTCTGTGAGGAAGGGAGAATTTGTTTGATTGACACGCAAAATTAGATTCATCAATGTGGGATAAATCATTGAGTTCCTGCATGTGAACAGGTGAAACTGGTGACTTACTGATAAAATTAAGTAGGAAAAAAAATGAGGAATTCTATAGCAAAAAGAGAACAAAGCAAATTCTTCTCGTTCGGTGAACATAAAACTTCTATTCTGTGTATGAGATTTAACCTATACAAAAGTGTCCTATTATCAGTACACCCATTAATAATAATAAATTGAGAAATGATTATTTGCTGATATTTTTAATTGAGAAAATGATTATTTGCATGACTCAAATGCTGGTATAAAATCGTTTTAAATTTCATTTAAAATTCGTAATTTCAATACCCTTTTTATAATTCAAATTTTAAAATAAAAACTACCACGACAAGTCGTTATCTGTACCAAAAATCAGACAATAAGCATCTTACCCAATCAATGAACCATTAAACTGGTTAAATGACACTGACATGCAAGCAAAATCATTTATGTCACGACCTCTTGTTAATGGACTTCGACACGAAAGCCACTCTGTCAGCTCAGTGTTACTACTCATCAAAGGTAAATAAGTCAATTACTGCAATTAACCGTTTGTAAATTTAACTATTTTTTTTCCTAATGTTAGATCGAAGGCCAAAAACCTTTGAAATAGATATTAAACTAAAACACCTGAGTACGCTGTAATTGCATTGCTTTTGTGTCTTAGCTTATTTAAACATAACGGAGGCAAACAAACTCCTTTTAGAAAACAAGTGGTTACAACTTGAAATTTACGATTAATCTGATTCATGAAATTTTGGTTTTTGCACAAAAAATGAGATTTTGAAAATAATCAGCCAGCGTTTATCAAAAAATGACAGGAATCATATCACGTTGGTCTAATGCTAAAAGAAACTCCCATCTCTGTCTAGTTTTGGTATGAAAATTTATTGCACATTGGATGGTACGTCAAAGCCATTACCCAGTCGTGTCGCGAGTCGCCTTAAAGAATTCTTTATAAAGTGCAACTAGGAACTCAATTTTTTTCAAATTCTAGGATATTCTATCCTATTAATCAAAATAGTAACTTGCCACAAAAAGATTTTTGAATTGGATGAATGCCCGTTATTTATCGTTCTTTTTTTATTTCCCTGAAATATCAAGCGATGTGAGAATTTTGGCTCTTTAGTAGACGTCATACTAACCTCCTTTCCAAGAACTGTAACTTGCATAATTTGGTTGAGGAGGGCAGGCACCCCAAACAATTTTCAACTTTTAAACAGAAATGTTATTTTTTCATGTACTCATTGAATAGATAACCTGACTATTCACTATACATTTTCGCAGTGCCCCTCTCCCAAATATTTTTTTTTTATTCCGCCGTCCATGATCATATACTACTAGAACTACCAGAAGCTTTTTAACTGTCTTTGTATCTCAAAAATAATATTAATCGTTTAAAAAAAATAATTTTAAGAAATCTGAATAAGAAGGGAAATGCGCTGAGCATTTTGGTAGTTGGAAAGTATTAGTATATGTGGGCTGTGTCTAACTTTAGGTTTTAATTAAAACATTTTTTCATGCAGATCAAGCGACAACATTCTCAAGCAAATCGAAATTTGAGATGAAGTTCTTTGTGATAGCTTTGTTAATGCTTCTAGGTGCTTTGTGCGTCGCCGCGGAAGGTAAGTCGAATTTATACCTCAGTTTATTAATGTTTAAAAAGATCATAAAACGCTTCCCTCTTAAGAGGGGTCTTTGCTCGCTGAAACATGGACCGATGATAACAAAACTGATGTCAACTGCAAACCACGTGACTTATTTACTCTTGCCTCTTGCGGTTTGGAGTTTTTGCAGAAATCGAGCAAAAATGTCACTCTAAATCTCTCCATTAAATCGGATCATCGATGGCCTGATTGATTGTTTTTTTTTGTTGTTTTTTTGTTGTTTTTTTTATCACAGAGGGAACAACACCGGAAATAACAGAGGAAATCGAGTGTGGGACAAAAGGCAAAGGAAACGATAGAGTTGTAGATGGAGACATTGCTACGAAAGGCTCACATCCGTGGCAGATATCAATTAAAAGACGCGGAGATCAAGGATTTTCTCATTTTTGTGGTGGCAGCATCATCAAATCTAATTGGATCATCACTGCTGCTCATTGTTTCAAAAACAATCCCACACCTGCAGATTACAAAGTAACCGCTGGTAAGTTCTTTGAACCAATAGAAACAATATCACCAAAATAGTACAAACAATGTAGACTGCACATAAGGACAAATCAAATAGAGGCCTGCCATGCAGGCACATATTATATGGTGATCTACATCAACATGTTTTTTATTTCATACATTATTCTTGATTTATATCATTTTTATATTCCGGTTTTTACTTTAAAATTAAGCATTATTGATACATTGATACAGGTCATATTGAATATTAATGTACATATCATGATTTCAAACATCAGGCGAATTCAATCTCGGTGAAGATGAAGGTGATGAACAAGATATGGACATCGACAAGATCATCAATCATCCCGACTTCGACAGAAGCATTAGCTCCCGCGACTTTGACATCGCGCTTCTGAAACTGAAAACCAATATTAGATACGATGAAAATGTTCGGCCTATTTGTCTTCCATCAGAACGTTTTCCTCCAGGTACTGAGTGTACTGTTAGTGGTTGGGGAAAACTTAATGAGGAAAACAGTGAAATGCCCTCTAGACTTCGTCAGGTATGTTCCAACAGCATAATTTTGTTTGGCTTTGTCTTTTTTAGCTTGTTGATGTGGCCTCTTTGACCCCTTAGAGGTTTTCAATACTCAGACTTTTTGTAATTAATGAAAAAAATACATCATTCTTTTACAGGCCGTAGTTCCCCTGGTTTCTCAAGAAGATTGCGAGAGGGCCTACAGAGGTATTAACTCACGCATGCTCTGTGCTGGCTTTCCACAAGGTGGTACAGACTCATGCAACTATGACAGCGGTGGACCTCTGGTCTGTAAGAACAAATCTGGTGTCTGGGAGCAAGTTGGAGTTGTGAGCTTTGGAAAAGGTTGTGCTCGCCCACGTAAATTCCACGTGTATGCAAAGATAGAGGAATACAAAGACTGGATCCAAAAAACTGTTGCAAAGAACTAGTGCACTTCATGAAAATAAATGAATGAATCATCGAAAATGTATTTTGTTTGTTTCATGGTATTTTGCGCAATTATTGTCTCTTTGATGACGGTGTGGATTTCTTTTCGATATATATATATATATATATATAGAACTATTTTAGAATCTCTAGCAACTAGATTCGTTGGAACATGGTGCTTTTCGCTCTTGTGTTTCATATGATAATATCATATATTTACCAGCTGATCTCATTCTTATAGGAAGGTTTTCCAATAGCTTGATACGAGATTCATCTTGAGACTTGCAGGATTTGAATAAATTTGCTTCCAATCTTTTTGATAATCATCCAAGTGTTCTTTAATACATGGACACGACATGCTTCTTACGTTAAGCTTAACTTGATCAAAATAGTTGTTGGATAAGTTGACTCAATTGGTACCATCTATCGTGGTGTTCAGTTTCTTTAACTCAGCTGCCATTTTCTTTACATCTGTTCAGCTGTTTCACTAGATTCACTGTTGTTTATCGGTCTGAAAGATTGCAGGTGGCTGGAAAAGAGGAGTCGTACTTTCAGGGAATGCATATCATTTTCATGTAAAATGATAAATAAAATCTTTCAACGAAGTTGATGTCAGATGTTGGACACCTTCGTAGTTTAGGAGATGACTATGGTGGCCCATGGCTGCCACTGCAATTTTACCTCTTTTTTGTTTAATTTTTGTTTGATTTTCATTATCTTTTCATTATTGAAATGAAAAGAAAAAGAAAAACAAATTCATTTTGAGAAAAAA